TGTAAATTTTGTTCAATGACATGAGACAAAGTATATGTGAACTGCTGTATGAAAAGTGAATTTACTCTGTAAATCTTCACCCAAATCAAAATAAAATTAAAAATAAAAAAAATTAAATCAAGTGACATATACTTCCCTACCCATTTTCACATCCCACTGGGGCCTATCAGAGCACTTCTGTCCAAAGCTACTTTATGCATAATGTTTAGGTGGGCACACATAATCCAAGCATGCTGTTCATACATGCTTATCTTTTCCATGAGAGAAAAAATGCCAAAAAGAAAACCTGAGCTTGAGTGACCTGTGAGGTTTGATGGTAACAGAACCAGGTCTGGAACCCCTATCTCTTAAGTCCAACTTTACTACCAAATATATATAGCTTTTGGGTGAAGACAATGGACTAGACAGAACTGGATCAAAATCTTGTTTCCTAATTATTTTTGTGACCTTGATCTAGTTATTTAACGTCTTTGAGGTTCAGCTTCTTCATTCCTAAACTGGAGATAATGATAGTACTTGGCTCACAAGGTTGATGTGAATATTAAAGGATATGAAGACAACATGTACAAAATACCTAGTACAGCCCTCAGAAAAAAACGTAAAAGCTCCAGACATGATAAAATACAAGTCAACTAAAACAGAAACTGTCAGGGTACTGTGTCTCTTTCACAGGAAGACTAGAAAAGTAAGGCAAGAAATGTACCAAATGAGGGCAAGAAAACATGATGACATTCTGAGTATCCAGACACCACACATCTTTGTTGTAAAGGTGGACAGCTTATGGTTATGCCTCAGCTCTACAACATGTAACTTCCTTAAAATTTACACAATTGCTCAGATGACAATTTGCCATTGTTTTTCACTGACCTGTTTTATTTTTGTTCTTAACTTCTGCTACTGAAAAACTTACAACCGAGTTGTATTATTCATCTCAAAGTTCCCTGACAGTTCACACCACGTAATAACTGAATCATTATTTACCTACAAGCCCTTCCTGTGTGTTTCTAATCTATACGTTTAGCCATGAGAATAACTATTACCATACTTTGGCACTACCCAAAGTGGTAAGAGAATAAAATATAAATGCATATGCATGCATATATATAGAGAGAGAGATTTTGAAAGCAATCACAAGAGCTTTAATAAACTATATCTTCTCAGTAAGAGTTGTTGTT